CTTCAATGCCAGAGTTTCTGAATAGCTACTTGGACACACCTAAGTACTAATTCATAATTTCATATCCAGTCACATGGGTAGCAAGCCCCCCCCCCCCACAAAGGGGGCCACCCCCACAGAGTAGGGCCCAACAATTTTTGAAACCCACCACTGATTTGGAGGTGTTCTGAAGCAAATATTTTTTTTATTTTTCTCTATTTAGGTTGACAGTGTGGACTTCAATCTACCCCACCCCAATGTCAGAGTACAACCAGACAGTGACTCACTTTGTGTTCTTGGGACTGACTGATATCCGGAGTCTGGAGCTGGTTTTATTTGCCATTTTTTTCATTATCTACCTGCTTATTCTAATAGGGAACGTCCTCATCATAGTGACGGTGGCTTGCGACTCGTGCCTCCACACCCCCATGTACTTCTTCCTGGGGAACCTCTCTTTCATTGACATCTGCCATTCCTCAGTCACTGCACCCAAGATGCTGTTTGACACCTTCTTCTCCCAGAAGGTCATCTCCTTTGGCGGATGTGTGGCCCAACTCTTCTTCCTCCACATCTGTGCCTCAGCTGAGATCTTCCTCCTGACCATCATGGCCTATGACCGCTGCGTTGCCATCTGCTACCCGTTGCACTATGTGAAACATGTCAACCTGAAGATTTGCGCGTACTTGGTGGGTGGTTTGTGGGTGGGCGCGGCCATCCACTCCCTGGTCCAGACGGTTCTCACCGTTCGCCTCCCTTACTGTGGCCCAAATGTCATAGACAGCTTTTTCTGTGATGTCCCCCCGGTCATCAAGTTGGCTTGCACTGATACGTACTTCACTGGTGTCCTCATCGTATCGAACAGTGGCATGATCTCCTTGGTGTGCTTCTTGGCCTTGGTGACTTCCTACGTCATCATCCTGCTCTCCCTGAGGAGACGGACAGCTGAAGGCCGTCACAAAGCTTTCTCAACATGTAGTGCCCACTTGCTGGTGGTGGTCTTGTTCCTGGGACCATGCATCGTCCTCTACAGCCGCCCTGCTTCCAACTTCTCCTCAGACAAACTGGTAGCTGTCTTCTACACCATGGTTACTCCTCTCCTCAACCCTGTGATCTACACCCTGAGGAACGAAGAGGTAAAGAAGTCCATGCAGAAACTCTGGCGCCGGAAGAAGATATTTTTTACAAGGGGATAAGTTATCTAGCTTGACAAGAAATAGGAGATGAGAAAGGCAAAACAACATTGGACAAAAATACACACTTGGATAGAAAAAATGATAAACGGACATATAAACCATTCCTGTTGGGTATCATACCAGAAAAATATAATAAAGAGAATATGTACTTAATACTACAGGTATTAACAGCGGCTAGAATTACATTTGCACAACACTGGAAGAAAATAGAGATCCTTACAGAAGAGAGGGACGCAGTGGCTTAGTGGCTAAGACACTGAACTTGTCAATCAGAAAGGTCGGCAGTTCAGCGGTTTGAATTCCTAGCGCCGCATAACGGAGTGAGCTCCCGTTACTTCCCCTAGCTTCTGCAGTTCGAAAGCATGTAAAAATGCAAGTAGAAAAATAGGGACCACCTTTGGTGGGAAGGCAACAGAGTTCCGTGCACCTTCGGTGTTTAGCCATGCCGGCCACATGACCACGGAGACATCAAAAAAGGTGCTTTTTCAAAAGGCAATGGGACTTCCTTTGTTTTTTCTTTTTTTTTTAATTTGAATATTTTATTTCATTTTCATTTTCATTTTCATTTTC